CAGGGCCATCTTTGGTTTGCGGCTGTGCGTCACCTCCTTGCGCGCTTCCTTCAGCAGTCTGTTCCGCAGCTGCTCGATGGGCGTCTCGTCTGTGATGATGGACACGATCTGCGGGCACAAGACGCAACCTGAGAGCACGCCCACAAACACTTCCTGTCTAGTTAAAATGTCAGACGGTGTCACCCCAGAGCAAGGGGTCACCTTCAAGAGGTCATCCCCTATAGAAGTGGACCTGTCATGAGATTGATTTTTGTGCAGCATGCTCAGTCATGTGTCAATGTGACCCTTCCAGGTATGTATTCCCTCCCACAAAGATCACATGACTCCCCCTGACAATACCTAATCTGCTTTTCTCTCCGGAAGGACGGCGCCATCTTTCTTCAGGCATCATCCGGGGTCACCATCTACTTCCTGGACTGAGATGCCGGATCAGAGATGACACCGTCATGGAAATCCTGAGCAATGTTTACAAATGTCTGACACAGATTAGCCCCCTGGTGTAGCCTCACTGAATACCCGCCCACCCCCTGTTCTAAGCTCCTCCCCTTCCAGTGATCTCTCACAGACCAATGATCAATCGGGGAGCTCTTACCTGGTCATAGAAAATGACAGTGACGAAGAGGCCGAAGAGGACAGACTCCACCAGCAGGAGGATGCAGTGAGCTCTGCGGGGAGAAGACAAGATGGACGGTGGTCACCAGGCTGTGGGGTTGGGGGGGGGAGTCAGTCAATAACCAAGAATACAATGTAACACTAGATCAGATCAAGCCCCCCAGCTGTGGTGGAACTACAAGTCCCATGAGGCATTGCAAGACTCCGACAGCCCCAGGCATGCCTACCGGAGGCAGAGGCATGATGGGATTTGTAGTTTCACCGGCTGAGGTTGCCACTCTGACCCCACAATGGCGACTTACATCTGTACGTGGTTGGGTAGGTGGCCCGCCTTCTCCGGATCGCTGCCCCTCAGTGCCGGCAGGAGCCACGTCCCCAGGACAAGACTCATGGCGTACAGACTGGCCAGAGCTGCAATACAGAACAAAAAAAAATGGCGCCGTGACTTCGGGGCCCATGTACGTGACGTGTTCCGTGTGCGTGGTGAAGGCGTGCTGCCACACGCGTGAATAATACACACCGTGAATTTACCTTTATTTTGGGAAGATTTCCTCTTACTTCCTGTTGAGTCTCCAGGACAGGAAGTGAATGGGAATCTTCCAATGGGGACAACTCTGTTACAGTGAGAATTGGGAGGGGATTTTCTCTTACTTCCTGTTGAGTCTCAAGGACAGGAAGTGAATGGAAATCTCCCAATGGGGGCACCCCTGTGCCTGTGAAAATGAAGAGTGTATTTACCTTTACTTTGGGAAGATTTCCTCTTACTTCCTGTTGGGTCTCCGGGATAGAAAGTGAATGGGAATCTTCCAATGGGGAAACCTCTGTTCCAGGGAGAATCAGGAGGGGATTTCCTCTTACTTCCTGTTGAGTCTCCAGGACAGGAAGTTAATGGAAATCTTCCAATGAGGACTCCTATGTTCCGGGGGTTTGAAGAGGGAATTTACTCACTTTGGGAACATTTCCTCTAACTTCCTGTTGTGTCCGGGTGAGGAAGTGAATGAAAATCTGCTAATGGGGGACACCTCTGTGCTGATGACACTGAAGCAGGTATTTACCTTCACTTTGGGAAGATTTCTTCTTACTACCTGTTGTGTCCCCTGGGACAGGAAGTGAAGGGAAATCTCCCAAAGGGGACACCAAAAAAAAAAACCCCACAGAGGGGATTGAATTATTCCCTATTCCATCTAAAACTACAAATCGCATTCTGGGCTTTGGATACACTTTTAAAACCAGTCCTTACAGGAAAGTAAGCCTCAGTATGATTGGTGTGGGGACCTATAAAGCACCCCTGGGGCCCTAAGCCCTGCAGCACCCCGAGGGCCCTTAACTTTATGGCACCCCATTATACAAAACAGTGACTTCAGCTTGGACACGCCCCCTCCAGTGAGCGAGCCAACCCGGCATCCAAATAGGAGAGCCCCCTTTGTAAGAATGGGGCCCCCTGGGAGGATTTGGGGCTTTCGGGGTGCTCAGGAACAAAGCTGAAGGTGGCGAAAAAGGAACCTGCAACAGAAAGATGGACACGTTGCATTGTGGGATACCAGTGGGCGTGTCTTAAGCAGAAGTCAAGGACTGTAATTGGCTGCAGCCTGGGAAGGAGGTCACATGATACCCCATACCCAAGGATTGTGTAGAGCAGGAGTAGCCAAACCCCGGGCCCTCCAGCTGTTGTGGAACTACAAATCCCATGAGGCATTGCAAGATTCCCAGTCACAGACAGGACTCCCGGAGAGAGATGCATCATGGGATATGCAGTTTCACCGCAGCTGGAGGGCCGGAGTTTGGCCACCCCTGGTGTAGAGAGCATGCACCAGTGTCAGAGCTTACACAGGGTTAATGACCACCTCCCCTCCCCCATGTGGCCGATTGGCTGTATCCTGGGAGGAAGTCACATGACACCCCATAAGCGACAGTACCGCGGTTTCTGAGACCTCCGCGCCCACATAGAAAATGGAGTGAAGGGGAAGCCACCCTGTCAAGAGAACCTGTCGCATTCCAGCCTAACAAATCAGGACACGGCACATTCCAAATGCCTTACCGACGCGGACTCACCGGTATAGAAGAGGAACTGGACAAAGTATTTTTGGTTGAGCTCACCGACGCAGTTGTTGATCCTGCGGGAAATGAACGGACAGCATTAGGCGCGGCGGTGATCAGAGGGCGGCACGCGCGGTATGTGACATCATCATACCAGGGACAGTGGTGGTCCATGCGGCGGATGCAGCGGTGGCAAATCCGGCAGTGGTGGGCCCGCGGAGGGCGGTACGTCTCGCAGCGATTGCACACGGTCCAGTCTTCATTGCCCTGCAGATTCAAGGATACGGGTGCATTTCATTAAAGGGTCAGTCCGGTGAGGCGCCAAAGAGTTCCCAGCTCCGCCCCCTTCCAAGATCAAGTCTCACTTGTCCTGCTGCAACAGCCTTGGCTATGCATCACAAGAATCCAAAAGGGAGAATAAAGGTTTCTTGTAATGTGTGTGGAAGTAGGCGGAGCTGAGAACCAGGAGACAGGTAGGCGGAGCTGAGAACCAGGAGACAGGTAGGCGGAGCTAAGAATCAGAGGACAGGTAGGCGGAGCTAAGAACCAGGAGACAGGTAGGCGGAGCTAAGAACCAGGGTCAGCAATGGTGATGCCCACATTTCCTTTACAACAAAGGTACTTTTAAGCCCACTCCAGCAAAAGCAGATTTCTCGAGGGTAAGGGACGGACTATATGGTCTTTAATTTGTCACAGTTGCAGAAATTTCCCTTCACTTCCTGTCATGGTGACCAAACAGGAAGTGAGGAAAAAACTTCCCAATGGTGATAAAGCAATTAAAACGTGACAGGTTCTAACTCTTCCCCACTCTGTTTTATGACCGTCAGTGCCCCCATCGGAAAGATTCGGCTAACTTCCTGTGTCAGGTGACCCCTCCCAGAGGAAGTGGGGGGGAAACCTCCCCCCAGGAACAGCAATAAGAACATGACAGCAGTTCGAGGCCATCCCTCACTCACACACGTTTTTGGCGTACGTCCTCCCGCTTACCCGGTCGTTTTTGCGTGGATTGCTGCGCAGTTCTGAGAAGTCGATGGCCATCTCCGGCAGCGGTACAACGCCTAGGAGGACACAAGACACGGCGTTAGATCCCCGATTGGTGGAAATGTCGGTCGGAGGCGGAGCAGAGACACGGGACGGGTTACCTGGATCTGAGAAGACGGCCCGAGTGTGACACAACAACAGCATGAAGACGATGAGGTTATAGAGGACGGCATGGACGGGACACCAGACACTGCGGGGGAGGAGAAAGCATGACAGACTTCATCCACTCCATCACACCCAGCCCCGGGGCCCCTGATACCCCTGTGATCTCCAATACCCCTGTCCTGCCCCCCATTCCTTAGTCCTCCTCCTGTGATCCCTGATACCCCTGTCCCTCATTCTTTAGTCCTCCCTCCTGATACCACTGTGCACTCAGCTGTGGCCCTTGTTACACCTGTCTTCTCCAGGGGGCCCCTGGGTTCATTCTCCCTGTGGCTCCTGATACCTCCCCTCCCTGTGGCCCCTGATACCCAAACTCTCCCCCATAGCCCTAGATATGGCCTCCGATACCCCTGTTTGCCTTTTCTGTGGCCCCTGATACCCTAGCCCTTCCCCATGGCCCCAGATATCCCTCTTCTCTTCTGTGGGCACTGTGACGCTGAAACCCCTTTCTGCCCTCCTGCGGACCTTGATTCCTTAATCCTCCACCCAGGGACCCTAATATCCCAGTTCTCCCCTCTGTGGCCCCTATTCTCCCAGTCCTCACTCTTATGACACCTGATACCCCTGTCCTGTCCCAAATTCCCTAGTCCTCCCTTTTGTGGCACCTGATACCCTCCGTCCTCCACCCTGTGGCCCACAGACACCTGTCCTCCTCCCTGTGGCCCCCGGTCCCCGTACCTTCCGGCATAGTCTTCCAGTAGGATGTGTCGGAGGATGACGTACTCGGAGTAGCTCAGACTCAGGTAGGTGAGGAGAAGGCAGAGCAGCCCGCACGGGTCCCGAACACACATCGCCATCACCCGGCTCCGCCCTCCTCCCCTATCCGCCAACCACACGGCCGCACCGAGACAAAACCACGCCCAGCCCGGCTCTTCCGCAACCTGATAGTCACCTGACCAGCTGTCACCTACCACTTCCGGTATGGAGCATCTCCATGGAGACCGGGCAGTGCATTCTGGGCACGTGACTGTCACGTGGGGAGAGTCTTCAGCACAGTGTAAGCTGAAGGGACATATCACGTGGTGCTTGGGGCCCCTTTAAGTAAAACATTTTGTTTTACCATTTTGCAAGTCACATGACTGAGCAAAGAGTATTTGTAGGACGCCAGAGCAATGCAGGGTCACTTTAAGAGAGGAGGCGGGGTCAGCAAAGGCAGCCGACATGGCCCTATCTCTTCTGAACACTGCGGGGCCCAGATAACGCAATCAGCACAATGAGCGCAACCTACGCTGTCCAATGTGGGGGAGAGGAGGGCTTATCCAGCACTATGTCCTGAGTGATAGAGCTATCAGCCCCAGCCAGGCACTTCCTGGTCTGCCTGTCACCTCAACCCAGCTCTCTGATTGGCTGAGAGCTGACAGATACGCCCCCTCCAGGGCTCCATCCTCCTTACCATGTGTGTGGGAGGTCACAGTGAGTGCTGGAGAGGAGCTGGGAGCTTCAGCCGGTAAGATCACATTGTATCCAGTCTGATTGTATTATGTTTGTTCCTTGTCATGTGATCACCTTCACCTTATATACCAGAGGACTGTTCCCATTGTTTGTCTGTATCACTGATCCCTCTAGAGATCTGCAGAACATCGCTCCGTGCTATCTCCCTCCTGACAGATACATATTGATATATTCTGCAGATTGTTCCACCACTGACCTCTCTAGAGGTCTGCAGAATATCGCTCCGTGCCATCTCCCCCTGACAGATACATATTGTTATATTCTGCAGATTATTCCACCACTGACCTCTCTAGAGATCTGCAGAACATTGCTGATATGTTCATGCGTTGTCAATCCCTTGCATGTGACCAGACTCGTCCAGTCTGGGTGTTCAGGGATCAGGAGGCCTCTCTATGGGAATTTCTTCAGCTCTATAATTTTTTCTTCTTTCCCCGTTCCCAGACACAGCCGGATATCAGATGCAGCGGACGGTAGTAGTCGCAGGTGGCGGCATTAGCGGGCTGACCGCCTGCTACCACCTGGTGAAAGATGCCAAAGTGTCCAAGGTAAGAGAGCCAAGTGGCCCCTGA